AAACACTAACAGAGAAGGTTTTAATGAGTTTTATTCTGTTTCTGTCCACTTTGAATGAAGTTACGATGATCTGAAGGTAAAATTTGTGTTTTTGTCTCTGGAGTCTGGTGGAGTGATATTACTGTTTGTGGTTAAACAGAAGGTCTGTCTCTGTAATGTACATCGGCTGTGATTGGCTGTGGCTCAGGATGACTGTGATTGGTTCTTACCGACAACAAACAGCAGGTTGTGGTTGCTGGGCTCGGAGCGGATGTCACGGCCTCTGTATGGATCGTATCTGCAGGTCATGTTGACAGGAAGTAGCAGGGCGCTCTTCTTCCAGATGGCGAGCTGCTTGCCGGTCAGGTTCCTGCTGCAGGACCCCTCTGCAATGTGGACCTCACCTCTGAGGAAGTGACACCTGAAGACAGGGCGGAGTGGCGGAGAACAGGTGACCTCCACACTGTCATCAGGTGAGACGAAGCGGCGACTGACAGACAGACGAGGACTGGGACTGCTGCCTGGAGGAGAGACCACCAACCGACAGGGACTGAAGTTCTTTACGTCACACAGTTAAAGTCAGTTCAGTTGAACAGGGAACGCTGATCACCGAGGACCTCTGAGAGGTTCCTCATCTACAAAATGAAGAGCACTGCATTGTGGGAGCTTTGTGCTCTGTCAACTTCCTCCTTTCCTGTACTTAGATATGCTATATGCTAAGCTAATCTATGCTGAAAACACAACCACATTCTGAAGATGGTTAAAAGATAAAAGAGACATTTATATTCTATTTATATTTATATAGTCACATCTTAGTTAGCTAATGTTAATATATATATAATATAATGCTAGCTAACTAGCTAGCCAGTTTACATCACTCATTAGTTACCTAGCACTACAGCTACATTTGTGTTGCTTCTACTTCACTAATAATATAATATATATAATAATAAAAGTCAGCAGGTGTGTTGTTGTGTCACCCACTTCCTGTTTGCTCAGGTAGAATCAAGAACAACAGGAAGTAGAACTCTCACCCCAGACGGTCACTCCCTTGGTGTCACTGGACTCTGAGGTGTACTGCTGCAGGCGGTAGTCACACCTGAGGTAGACCCGGCTGCCCACCAGGTGTCTTCCCAGCAGCTCCCGAGAGGTGAGCCGGAACACACACAGGTAGCTGGTGGCGGTCTGCAGCCTGAACGGCGTCTGAGAGTCTCCTCTGAACAGACGACAGTCTCCTCCAGTGTAATCCACAGGAACTATACAGGTAACCTCTAACACCTGTCCTTCCTCCATCTCTGAGCTCACTATCAGCCCGGGTTTATCTGTACAGGACACACAGTACTGCAGTACTTATACTGCCACACAGTACTGCCCCCAGTACCTTATTCTTGCACCACACAGTTACTGCAGTACTTATATCTGCACACACAGTACTGCAGTACTTATACTGCACACACAGTACTGCAGTACTATACTGGCCACACCACAGTACTGCAGTACTTATACTGCACACACTTTAAATACTTTGAATATCTGAGTACTTTCTCTGGAGTAAAACTGCAGTATTTGAAGCAGACGCAGTACTCACTGCTGTATGTCGTCCTGGCAGCAGCCGTCCAAACTGTCAACCAATCAGAGACAAACAGGAAGTCACTGAGATATTACTGATTAATAATGTTATTATTATTTGCTGTTATTGAACTCACAGCAGAGACTGAAGACCAGAATCAGGTCCATGATCAGGTCCTCTTGAGGTCCAGATGGTGTCAGACTGACTGACCTCTGACCGGTTTACTCAGTAACTCTTTGTTTACTGTGTGAGAGTTAGTTCGGTTATTGATCTGTGAACTGAACCCTGAGAGTCCAGTGCTGACACAGAGTGACAGTCTGGGACGTTTCTATAAAACCAGAGTTAACTTCCTCTAATCAGAGGAGGGCGGCCTACCTCCCCCAGCCTCCCCCAGCCTCCACCAGCCTGCCCCACCTCATAAATACCTGGCATACCTGGTATTTCCGTGTACTTGTTGTGAGGTTCCTGAGTGTTAACATGAGGGCAGATCTGTCTGTCTCCAGTGCTGCTGAAGGTTTCATCTTCTGCATTATAGCACCAAAACCCTAATCAAAGAGAAAACACACACACTGTGTTCCTGCCAGGAACCCACGGACAGAACACGACTTTATTTAAACTATTGTTAATGTTATTATTGTTATTGTTATTATTGTTATTATTGTTATTAATACTCGACACAAACTAAATCCAGAGGGGCAGTATTGACTCCTGAAGACCACTGTATGGACATACATCTGCTGTTAAAGCATCATAAGTACTGCAGTATTATATGAG